TGAACGCGGATTTGGGGCAGGGGGGGAAGCAGAATTCACTCATTTCCAGGCAGAATTCACTCCTCAGGAAAGGCCCTGCTGAGTTCTGCGGCTGGAGGGGGTCGGGAGAGCCCCCGCGGGTGTTTTGGGGGGGCTGTGGCCGCTGTTTGTCCTTGTCCCCGCCTCAGCCGCCTCCTCTAAGGGCACGGCGCCATCCCGGAAGGCTCGGGACAGGAGAGGAGAGGAGAGGAGAGGAGAGGAGAGGAGAGGAGAGGAGGAATTCCTGCCTCGGTGCAGGCTCTGGAGAGCCTGGGTGGCACCTGTGCCCCCCAAAACCCCCTGGGCAGCAGGAACGAGATGGGAACGAGGAGCTGAGGGAGCGCCAGGAGCCCCGGTGACCTCCCTGTGTCCCTGCTGCCACAACCTGTCACCGCCCCTGGGAGCCACCAACACCCCACGGACCCTCTGCAGCCCGGCCAGGGGGGAGCCGCTCCCCAAAACCCCTCCTGGCCGGGAGACCCGAGCCCTCCCGAGCCTCCTCCTGCTCGCAGCCCCCTCCCCTCGCCCCCCACCCCCGGCTGGCTCCGGGGAGCATCTGGCGGCCTCGTCAGCGCCTTGGCCGCGTCCCCGCGCTCGGAGCGGCCGCGGAGCCCCGTGCGCGCCGCATCCGGCGGGGCCGAGACAATGGAGCGCCAGTTGCAGGCGGCTGAATGACAAAGTGCTCCAATTACCCTGAGCTGGGAGGCGGCCGCTCCCCCTCCCCGGCTCCGCCAGCCCGGCCTGGCAGCCCCTGCTTCCAGAGCCTGATTCCAGAGCCTTTTCCCAGAGCCTTCTTTTTCCAGGGCCTTTTTCCAGACCCTTCTTCCAGAGCCCTTTCCCAGATCCTTTTCCCAGAGCTTTTTCCCAGACCCTTTTTCCAGATCCTTTTCCCAGAGCTTTTTCCCAGACCCTTTATCCAGACCCCTTTTCCCAACCCTTTTCCCAGACCCTTTTCCAGAGCCCTGTTCCCGACCCTTTTCCCAGATCCTTTCCCAGACCCATTTTCCCAACCCTTTTCCCAACCCTTTTTCCCAGACCCCTTTTCCCGACCCTTTTCCCAGGCTCTTTTTCCAAACCCTTTTTCCAGACCCCTTTTCCCAGACCCTTTTCCCAGGCTCTTTTTCCCGCTCCCGGCAGGCAGGAGGGATTGGAACATTGGGAATCCTCCCAGATGTCACCCGGGAAGGGGCTGGGCTGAGGCCCCACGCCCCTCGTGGGGGCACATTTGGGGTTTTGGAGCCCGGCTGTCCGGAGCTCATCCCACTGCTCCGTTCGGGATCGGCCGCTCGCAGCTCCCCGGGATGAGATTCCAGCGGCTGGGAATGGGGCTGGGGGATGGCCGGGCTGGTCAGGGGGTGGTCACGGAGCACCCAAAGTATCCACAACCCCAGAGCACCCCGAATCCCAGAGTATCCCATGATCCCAGAGCATCCCCAATCCCAGAGCATCCACAATCCCAGAGCTTCCAACAATCCCAGGGCTTCCAGCAATCCCTGAGCATTCCATGATCCCAGAGCATCCACAATCCCAGAGCATCCACAATCCCAGAGCATCCACAATCCCAGAGCTTCCAGCTCTCCCAGATCACCCCACAGTCCCAGAACATCCCACAATCCCAGAACATCCCACAGTCCCAGATCTTCCATCTCTCCCGGAGCATCCCGTTCTCCCAGGCCGCTCTCCCAGTCCGCTCTCCCACGCCTCAGGCAGCTGCCGGTGGCTCCGCGTGGGCCGGGCCTGGCCTCGCCACTCTCGGGCCACCTGTCCCCTCCCCGCGGGGCCACCGCCGCCCCCCGCCCCTCCAGCGCTGCGGAAAAGGCGATTCCGGCTCCAGGTGCCGCGGCCCCTCCTCGCTCCGAGGGTTTCCCGTGGGGGTCCGGGGGCTCTGAGCCCCCCTCGGGGCTGGCGAGGGGCACCTGGTCCGCGTTAGGCCGCGGGAACTGCGCGTTCCGAGCGGTGGCAGAGCCGCGGGGATTAACCCGTAAAGCATTCTGACAGCTGGCCGGGCCGGAGCGCGCCGGCGACACCTCTGGAAGCTCTTAATTGCTTTTGGAGCCGTGTCCCGGGGGTGGGAGCAGTACCGGGGGTGGGAGCCGTGTCCCGGGGGTACGGAGCCGTGTCCGGGTGTGGGAGCCGTGTCCCGGAGGGTGGGAGCAGTACCGGGGGTGGGAGCCGTGTCCCAGGGGTGGGACCCTGAGCAGGCGCTGCTCGGGGGACGGAGCCGCTCCGAGCGAGGTTTGGGAGCGCTGGCACCGCGAAGCGCCCGGCGAGATCCGCTGGAGACGAGCCCGGCAGCGAGATCCGAGCTGCCCGACGGGCGCGCTCTGCCTCTCCTGGCCGAGCGCCGCCTCTGGGAGAGGACAAATCCCGGTTCCCAGCGACTCCCGAAGTTTGGGCAGCTCGGGAAGCCGCGTCCGAGCGCCGCCGCTCCCGGGCCGGGCAGCGCAGGTACCGAGCGGCGAGAGAGCGGGGACCGGGATGGGGGTCCCGGGGTGCGGGCACTGCTGGGGGGGCACAGCTGGGGTCCCTGGGGACACTCCCAGCCCCGGAGGGCAGAACCAGCCCCCCGAGGTGACCCCGGCCCAGGGAAGCGGCGATTTGGGGGACATCACAGCCCGGCCCCGCCGCAGCGGGCGGGGCGGGGGGGCGAGAGGGCGATGCCCTGGGGGGGAATGGTTGGGATCCATCTGTCTGGGGCAGCTCCGGGCCCTCCTGCCCCCCCGCCCGTTGTCACAGGGACAGGAGGGGCCATCCCGACCCCCCCGGCACGGCGGTGCCAGCCCCGCTCCGCTCCTCAGCCCCCGCTCGGAGCCGCTCAACTCCACCTTCAGAACCCTGCCCGAGGGGTGTCCGGCTGCCCGAGCGCCCCCCGACACCCCCGTTAAATCCTGACCCCCAAAAATGTCCCGTTCCAGCCCCAGCTGCGGGCTTGGACCCCCCCGGGCACTCCTCTCTCTGCTGCCCCCCCTCCCCGTACCCTGAAGTTTTTTGTCTGGGGCGCACGGGGGGCTCTGCCGGGAGGAAAAGGCTCTCAGCCTTCGCTCTGAGAGAGTTCGGAGCCGGGAGAGTCTGGGGGAGGTTTGGGGGGGCGTGTGGGGGGCAGGTGATGAAGGCACTGGGTGGTTCTGCCCGCTCCCCTCGGACCGAGGCTCCGTCACCCTTTACAGCGGCACCGGAGGGGCTGCGGGACCCCCGTCCCCACCCAGCTCCCCGCACCCCAAAGCGCTCTGCCCCCCGC